TGGGAGGGGAGGTCTCGGAGGAAGTGACTCTGGAGCTGAGACCTGACGTTGGGGTGGGACTGGATTACATGCCCTCAGCAGCTCTGTTTTGTACCCACTAGGTACCAAGCCCTGTTCCTGGTGCTGGGAATAAGCCCCGAGAGACACACAGTCTGTCTCCGTGGAGCTTGTGTTGTGGGTGAGAGAGAGAGAGAGAGAAACACAAATTTAAGAGGATTTACTGTCAATGAAGAAGAGTGGGGAAAGGGAACAGTGCCTGGAAATTTCCTGCGGGGTGGTTTGGGAAGGCCCCTCTGAAAAGAGAAGCTGAGAGATCTGGGTGTGAAGATGCAGGTGTCTGGAATGCTTCTGAGCATCCCAGGCCACAGACACAGGAAATGCAAAGGCCCTGAGGCAGGCGTGTTAGGGGCCAGGCTGAGGAGGACTCACTCGGGGAGGCGAGGTTGGAGGAGAGCCGGGGCCTGGATGTTGGGACTGACTTGGAGCTGGGGACCACTGGAGGGGGACCCTGATTCTGCCTGGTCCACGGGCTCAGTCTGTTGGGAGGGAGCCCAGGCGGGAACAGGGCCGTGGGAGGCTGCAGGTAGGGCAAGGACCGGGTGCCCATGTGGGTGTGAGGGGGCCAGTTCCCACAGCTCCAACTTGAACACAAGGTCAGACAGACAGTCCCATCCTGAGCTCTGCACAGGGGGTGCTGGGGGCCCCAGGGGGCGTTTAGAAGGAAGAACAACCCAGACCTGTTCCTTTGAAAGTCACAGGTTACTGACCCAGAAGTAAATCTATCCTTAATGCGGAGCATCTGGAAACACTCCCGAGTCGCAGTGTGTTTTGCCCGCAGCCCCTACCTCTGAATAAGCTTCCTGGAATTTTAGAAGGGTCTGCAGGAAGTAGCTGTGCAAAGATTATCTCTCTGAAAGCTCATTTCCCCCGAGGCAGCCAGGAGAGATGGTTGGACCTGACAAGAGCGTTTCTGAGAGTCTCCACCCTTGCGTCGTGGTGGTGAGGGTGTTTTTCCACAACGTGTTGGGGGTGGGGCTCCAGGGCCCACCTTATCTGAAGCTTGGGCCCTTGCTGACCAGGTCAAGAATTGCTGGCTTTGAGCATATCGATAACGTTTAAAATCCTCTGCTCCCTCTCTGCCTGCTTTCCTGTGCTAAATGTCCATTAGCTCTTCCTTCCCGGGAGAGGGGCTGGGGCAGGGGGCGGGCCGTGCAAACAAGGAGGACGAGAACCGAAGTGGGAGGGAGGCGTAGGCTTTTGAAAGGGACCTGGACTTGGAATTCAGGTGTGTGGCCCATCCGGCTTGACTGGGCCTCCTGCGCCTGGGTGGCCCGAATCGAGGGACTCGGCCATCATTCTGTTCACTGTCACTTTAGTGACAGCAGCCGCCGCTCCTGGAGCTCCAGCTTGGAGAGTCAGGGAGGAGATCAAGTCTGGAGCCCAGAGCTCAGCTCCCCCGACCCAACAGAGAACACTGCTATCATAGGACGCGGCTCAGCCCTGGCCGGCCTTTGACCATGGCTTTCCCAGCGCAGGCGGGTGGTGTCCAGGCTCCAGTCCCTGAGGCCCCCGCCGGAGCGTTGCCATGGAGAAGTGACGGCCCAGCCTCCCTCTGAAGGGAGAGTTAGTCACTGTGACTACAAGGGGAGGTGTAGAGCATCTATCTCCTTTCCTGGGTGTATAATGGGGGGGGGGAGGGGAAAGGGGCGGGGCCGCGGCTCTCTGAGCACCTGCTGTGTGCGAATCATCCAGCGAGGGAGCTAACTTCTTTCACACTTTGCAGGAAAGGGATGATATCATATGTCGCCCTGCTCTGCCCTTTGCCTTTTCACTTAGAGAACTTTTTCTCTCCCAGCACGTGGAGATTTACTTGCCGGCTACAGCTTTCAATTCAGGCCCCCCAACAACCCTACAAAGCGACCATTGTCATTTACTGTCAAACGAATGTTTGTTTGACAAACAGCCAGTGTCTCTAGAGGTCAAGAACCTGTCTGTCCCGTGCTGTATAGAATTGTCTCAAGAATCAAAGGCTCCCATCCAGGGGGACGTACGTTTCATAAACTGAAATGCTTAATTTAATGGAAAAGTGTTTTGGTGTGGCCAGCTGTGTCGTCTGGAGCCCGGCGCGTGTTGCCTGGTGCGTGTTCTGTATTCTAGGGTTTTGGTTCCCTGAGGAATGAGGGGAACATGGAGTTTTCCTGCAGAATCATCTCATAGTTAAAGCCTTTGCCCTTCATGAGGGACCAGGGTGCCTGAAGAGCAGCAGTGAGTTGGGGCCCCTCACGCACCCGCCTTGGGTCAGACGCAGCACCTGCCCCGGTGAGCGGCATCAGAGTCAGTGCCCTGCAGGAAGAACTGCAGGAAGTCCTGTCTGTGCCCTGGCTGGACACACCCTGCTCACTCCCGGCGTAGAGTCTGTCTGGAGCTGGCCCCTCTCCCCGGACCCAGCTCCAGCCTCGAGGCTCCCGGGGCCTGGGCTCTCGTGGGAGGCCACACGCCGAGGAAGAACTCGCCATCACCACCATCACTGTCGCCATTGTCACCATGGATGTAAAAACCGTCCAAACCCGCAGAGAATTTTTTAGGAGTAAATTTGAGCCAAACTGACGATGTATGCAGGGGAACAAGACCTCAAGTGCTCTCAAGACTACCGATTTTACACCTTTCATGCCTTCGAAATTAAGGAGGGAATAGAAGGAAGATGCCTTGGAGGTGGAAGAAAGCCTGGTGGGGTGTGGTTGCAGGCTTGGTTAAGGAGATATGCTCACTGGGGTGGTTATGGCTTAATTCAAAGGCGTGTTGACCTAGGCACACAGAAACAATGGCCAGGGCTGCTTAAGGCAAAGATAAACCTTTTACTGCAGAGTTTTAAGCCTAGGGCATGACTGCCCACCTGACCGGCCCAGTTAGGAATTTATCGTCAGATCACCCTGTGAGGCCACTTTCCATAGAACCCCTTTTTCCGTCCTCATCACCAGGGCTGTTATCATCCTCATCATCCTCATGGCTGTTACTGTCATCATCATCCTCATGGCTGTTATCGTCCTCATCATCCTCGCTTCCTGTGGCCCTCAGGGGCTGTGTCAGGCTCCCAAACAGTCCCAGGCCAGCCAGATCTTGCCCTGGCCTCACGACTCAACTGGTCCCTTCCTTCATTTGTTTATTTATTTTCATTTCTGTGTATGATTGCATCCTCAGGTTTTCTCTTTAAAAAAAGAAAAGTTGTTTTTTTATTTTATTTTATTTATTTTTTTTTTTATTAGGCCCGAGCATGGAGATTTTTGCTTGGCTTAAAAATAATGTTAGAGTGATGAGTTCAGTGTCTTCAAAAAAAAAGAAGAAAAGAGAAAAGCGGTGAGTCATCGGCAGACATGGACCCTGGGCTGCTGGCGACAGAGCCCGGGCGCTGGGCCTCGTCACCGGCCACATCTTTGCTTGAGTGGTTTTTTAAAAGCGGAGCAGAGGTGAGCATGCCTTAAGGAGTGTGCTCGCTCGGGTTTCTTTTTTCGAAGAGGAGACTAATATTTCACAAAGTTTACTGAAGAGAAAGTCTGCTT